GCAAGAGGCAGTGAATCTCTACTCCAATAATCTTCCCATCACTGTCACTGGCAGAGAGCTCTGCATCGGGATTGGATTTGGCCAAAGCTAAGGAGGGAGACCAAAGCAGAGAGGTGCAAAGCACAACAATTAAACACAGGCAGGGGCCTGGTAGTGAATTCAGCCGCTGTCTGTGGCACCAGCAACCCCTAGGACCTCAGGATCCATCCAAGCTACTTCACTTCCTAGCCAGCTCCCTGCTAAGATGCCTGGAAAAGCAGTGGAGGATGGCTTAAGTACTTGGGCTCCTGCCACCCACATGGAATATCCAGAAGTTTCTGGTTCTTGGTATAGATGGGTCTGGCTCAATTCTAACCATGTGACCATCTGGAGAGTGAATCAGCCAATAGAAGATCTCTCTCTGTGTCTCTTCGCCTCTTTCTATAAGTCTGATTTGCAAATAAATAAGCAAATCTTTTAAAAATAATACTAAGTATAAAAAAGTTAAAAGCAGGCAAATGCAGGATCTGGGTCAGGAGCAGGAGGCATCTGGTGTAATAAGACTTGAGGTGAGAGAGATGTTTCTCTGCCTGGATGCTCAGCCAGGTAGCAGGTGTCTGAGACCTGTACTGTGCTGGAGCCCTGTTCTTGGAAGGGAGTGGTGGCATCCTGGCTCTGGGCAGAGAGCCACCCGGAGGGTTAATGGTGGCGTTGGGCAAAGGAGCACCATGTTTCAGACATGTGAAGGAACCTGCAGCTTCCTTTCTCTGGGATTCTGGGAGTTGATCCCGTTAACATCCTTGTTTGAGTTCTCTCCCTCCCACACTTCTACTTCCTCTGTTTCCCTCCATCTAAAACACCAGAGAAGCCAGCTAACACACCCAGCCTGTGTTAGAGAGCTGAGGAGAACTTAGGGACTGGGAGGCAGGGAGAAAGTGGTGCTCCCTCACTGATACCCTTTGCTGAGGTCTGCTCCATGGCAGCTCCTTTATGTGTCTGAGGATGGTGACCCAGGATGTCAGTCAGCCACACACCCTGCGCATGCTTTCCCCACATCACCATGGAAAGGTCACTCAGGAGATGATCAGGAACTTTGGGGTCATCAAATAGGACAAGAGCACCCTTGGAGTACTCTAAGCAGAGGGATGCTAACTGTCCTCCATCCCCACCCCCAATCCTCCAGGCACCAGCCATTGCAGTGACTTTTCTGCTCTCTGCAGGCAACCCATGGTGCCAGCTCCTGGTCACTCGCCAGCACGGTAGTCTCAGTCCATCTCCCCACCCTAAGCAACTCCTGGTTATATCTCAGCTGCCCTGATCCAATACAGACTGCCATAAGTGTTGGACTGCCTGTGCTACTGACCTGAGCTCCCACAGTCACTGAGTGATCTGCCCAGCTCCTGCAAAGCCCTTCTTCCCTCTGTAGTAGCCTAGTCATTTTGGGCCTCTGGATGCAGAAATGGACTTGGAAGTCAACTGGGGGGCGGGCAAAATCATTAACCGGAAGAATTCCAGTTCTCACACATTGGCCTCCATCAATGTCCCAGCTGTTCCTTACCCTGGACCACATTCTCCTTCCTTGGTCCCCAAGTCCCTCCATGAGCTGAGTGTCACCTTCTTTCCCAGCCCTGTGGGTGCCATCATCCTGCTCTCCCTCTAGCCCAGGAAGACACCTTCCCTCAGCCACACTCGCCTTTTAGCCTCGCCCTCTCTGCTCCCCTTCGTTGGCGCTGGTCCTGCACATCCTTCTGCCTTCCACTGCAATATCACCAACTACAGGAAGCTGCTAGGTCCACTTCCAACGCCTGGAAAGGTCCCTTCATATGTTCCCATCAGAAGGATGTTACTAACACTGTAAGGTCACTGACGTCCCCACCTACTTCCTAACTGCCTGTGGTACTTGAGACCAGAGCCAATTGTGTCACGGCTTTCATTTGTCATTTTATTGTGATTGTACAAGGTACTGTCAAGTCAATTGCTGAATGAATGGTGACACATGGCCTGGAGCCAGACGTGTCTGTCTCGAGTTTCTTCCTTTAAGACCAGTTTTTCCCAAAGGGGAAATTAGTTCCCACTGCTAAGAGACTCCTGATAGACTTCCCCTGCTGGTCCTCTGGCCTGAATCTTAGGGACTCCTTCCAGATGTGCTGTTAGAGACAGGAACTTGCAGTGCACTGGCCCCAGGTGACTGGTTTTCCCCACACCATTCTGACATCAGGGTCTCCAGGGGACCCCAAAGGGGTGTCCTATAATCTACTTCTCTTCTGACACTACCCAGAGATGGCTCAATATCCCACAGCTTGAGGGCTCAGTCCCACAAGACGGTCACCATGGCAGGTGCCAGTCACAAGCAGGTGACCCATGTGTCTGAGTGGCCATAAACTAGGCTTCCCACAGCCACCCCTACTCCAGCGAATTTGCTACAGTGGCTGCAGTAAGTCAGGGAAACACTGACTGAGGCTTATGAGGATAACAAATATCAGATACCAGTGAGCAAGTCAGATAGAGGAGGCACACAAGATGCGGTCTGTGGGAAGAGACTTATTGTACTTCCTTTAGACACCTCCACCAGGTCAGCTTGGTGGGAGCTCCCAGAACCCTGTTCTTTGGGAGTTTATAGAGGCTGTTATGTAGGTATGGTTGATGCCATTGACCATCTGTGGTCAACTTAACCCTCAGCGCCCTCCTCAGAGATTCCAAACCTGTGCTGTGTCTTTTCTGGTGACCAGCTACCCCTCTTCTATGCTGAAGCTGTGAAGGGGCCCTCTACTCTCATGTTCAAGACTCACTGTGGTGACCCCAGGCTTTTTGGGAGTATTTCAGTGTCAGACCAAGGGGGAGAGCTCATGCACCTGTGTCCTTCTAATCATAGCGTCTGATGGGGACGGACCATAGCAGAGCTTCTCACATCCCCTGGGAGCCTGTTACACCGCACATTCTGGCTCAGCAGCTGGGGCTGGACCATACAGGCTGGTGCTGGTGGGCGGGGACTCCACACCCTGAGTGTAAGGCAGGAAACTAGATGGCCTCGGTAACCTCTTTAAACTGATTCCAGGATTCCAGCCCATAAACACTAATTGGTGGGCTGATGTTGTGGAGGAGTGGGCCTACGTGGATACAGGGTTGTGTCCCGGCTGCTCCAGTTCCAATCCAGTTCACTGCAAATGGCCTGGGAAATACAGTGGAAGATGGTCCAAGTGTTTGGGCTCTTGATGTGCTTGTGGGAGACCCAGATGAAGCTCTGGACTCCTGGCTTCAGTCTTGACACAGTGCTGGCCCCTTGTAGCCATTTGGGGAATGAACAAGTGGATGGAAGATTCTCTCTCCTATTATTCCTATGTGTGAGAGAGAATACATAGTTAAAGAAAACAAAAAACTAACCGGGGCCTGGCGCAGTAGCCTAGCAGCTGAAGTCCTTGCCTTGCATGCACCAGGATCCCATATGGGCACCAGTTCGTGTCCCCGCTTCCCTGCTTCCCATCCAGCTCCCTGCTTGTGGCCTGAGAAAGCAGTCAAGAATGCTCCACAGCTTTGGGACCCTGCACCCATGTGGGAGACCTAGAAGAAGCTCCTGGCTTCAGATCGGCTCAGTTATGACCATTGTGGCTGCTTGGGGAGTGAATCATCAGATGGAAAATCTTCTTCTATGTCTCTCTTCCTCTCTGCATATCTGACTTTGCAATAAAAATAAAAATAAATCTTTAAAAAAGGAGCTAGCAAAAATGGGAGATTTTTTTTGTCAAAGGAGGTTTTGTAGGTGAACCTTTTTTTTTTAAAGATTTATTTTATTTTTATTGGAAAGGCGGATATACAGAGAGGAGAGACAGAGAGGAAGATCTTCCGTCCAATGATTCACTCCCCAAGTGAGCGCAACGGCCGATGCTATGCTGATCTGAAGCCAGGAGCCTCTTCCAGGTCTCCCACGCGGGGGCAGGGTTCCAAAGCTTTGGGCTGTCCTCAACTGCTTTTCCGGGTCACAAGCAGGGAGCTGGAAGGGAAGCGGGGCTGCTGGGATAGAACCGGTGCCCATATGGGATCCTGGGACGTGCAAGGCGAGGACCTTAACAACTGCACCACCGCGCCGGGCCAGAACCTTTGTTTTTATAATGCTTGATCCTATGAGAAGCTTCTTTCTTTCTTTTTGTTTTGTAAAAAGCCCACGTTTAAAAATTATTTGTAAGCCAGAGTGTGAGAAGGGGAGAGAGAGAACTTGATTTTCTATCCACTGTTTTACTCCCCAAATGTTTACAAAAGCCTAGACTAAATCAGGCTGCATCTAGGAGCCAGGAACTCCATCCAGATGTCCTACTTGAGTGGCAGGTGTTGCAACACTTGAACCATCACTGTCTGCTCCCTCATCAGGCCTTACTTTTCAAGAATCCTGCGATGCTTCAAGGACACATTGCTCTCCCATGCTAAATGATTTCTGTGATGTTGGACCAACTTTGTGTTTATATAACTAAACATCCCCCCCCCCCTTTTGTTAATTAGCTGTCATGGTCTTTCTAACAATTGGCTATGCAATTTGAGCTGTGACTAGCACGTGATCCGTGGCGGATCACTGTAATTAACACAATTGCACATTCATGCTCCTCTCCCTCAGCGTTGTGTGCACACGACTCTGCTCCTTACCTTGTCTTCTCTCAAAACTTTTAGGATCAAGCAATTCCTGGACAAGGGAAAAACAAAACTTGCCCCTCCCCCCCAGCGAATTCACATGAAAACTGGTAATAAAATCAGTGCAAGCCCAAGGGGAGACATTGGAGAACAACCAGGCTGAGCCTGCCGGGAATTCTAGCAGGGATGGCACAATCATAAGGATGCTATGTCCAAATTACTCTCACTTTACCATATCAAGCCAAGTAAGGTCACCATTGTTTGTGCTGTTAGACATGTTTTACTGGGAATACAATTTTTCTCTTTGCTCTATGCTCCACACAAGTAGGCTGGTTCATGTATAAATATGGGGAAACCTGCTGTTTAAAAAAAGAAAGAAAGAAAAATACTGGGTGGAGCTTCCATTTGAGGAGTGTGCTGTAAGGGGGAAATGCTTTTAATGATGGCCTACATAACTTGGGGGGTTTCCTAACAGCCATGCTCTTAACACAATGCTTCTCCCTTGTTCTTCCCACCTCACCGGGGCCAGATGCCTGTTTGTGCAAGCAACAAGGGGCTGGGGCAGGCTCCAGGGCCAGGCCAGCTCCTTGAGTGGAACCGCTGGGGGATCTCTTTGCTTGGGGCATTGCTCTTGCTGCTAAGTGTTTAGCCAAAGATCGGCTTCTTCTCCACAGTGATGTAGACGAACAGCACAATGATGAAAATGCCAAGCACCGCCAGCTTCAGACCCAGGGGGAGCCCGAGGCCAGCACTCGGGTCCGCTGCACAGGGCTTTCTGACGACACACCCAGCCTTGCATCTGGGGACTCTGTTATCAGAGGGCCTTGCAGCATACCTGTGAAAACACGCGTGGCTCTGAGGGCTGTGGCAGCTCCTATCTGTCTCAGCTAATGCTGTGGCTTTAGTGACAGCCCACTACACACATGAAGCCCATGCTGATCTCACCAGGAATGACACTTCTCTATCCCACACAGGATCTATTTACCATTACCCTCCACTTTGGCACAGCGCCAGGCTTAGGGACCTTGTTGATTCCCTCACCTGCCCAGGTGCTCCCCCACCCCCTTTGGCACAGGTATAAACTCAGGGCTAGACACTGGTCCTTTTGCAACCTACTCATTTTGCATTTAAAAGGGCTCTTGTGGGAGTTCATTCAGAAGTTAGGGAGCTTTTCAGAAGGCTCCATCTCCTCGGCACAAAAACAGTACATAATTCTGGGCTAGACTGTGACATTGCAATACCCAGAGGCTTGGCACATGTGTGGCATGATGAGATTGGGGCAATTGGCATCTTCAGCACCATTTATCATTTCTGCCTGTGGAGATCATTCAAGAGCCTTTCTCCTAGCTAATGTGAAACACAAAATGGATTGTTCATGACAGCCGCCCTGGCTGCACTATCCAGCACCAAATCTTGCTCCCTTAATATTGTGTTCGCCACAACAATGATCTCTTTCTAACCCTCTTGCCCAGCCTCTGGTGGTCCCTCTTCCACTTTCTGTTCCTATGAAACCACTGAGTTCAGCACCCACGTGCAAATGAGAACTCTCTGCGTGTGAATTCAGTTGGAGACCTCACTTTCAGACGAGTGAGGTGGTCCAGGCGGGATTCCTGGGGACTGACAGAACGTGAGAACATTAATGTCTTCAAATGCAGGGAAAAAAAGCATTACCTTATGCCTTTGGGAAGCTTGTGAGCCAGGCAGCCTCCTTCTCGAGCTTTTGTTTTGCCCGCAGGAGCCTCGGGTCTCTAGCAAACAGAGAGGAATTTGAATCTCACCAAGAACCCTGGATGGGGCTGCTGTTTTAAATACTTTTTCTTCATCCACTTGAAAAGCAGAGAGAAACGGAGACAGAATTCCACTTGTGGGTTTATCCTTCAAATGCCCCCCAAAGCCAGGGTGGGCCAACGCTCAGAGCCCACAGATCCACGCAGGTCTTTCACACGGATGGGAGGGGCTCAAGCACTGGAACCAACACCTGCTACCTGCCAGGGTGTGCATTTCTGGGAAGGCAGGGTCAGAAACAGAGCAGCAGGGACTCTCACTCAGCACTTTGATACCAAGGGGTGCTTAACCTGCCACACCGAAACTCATGGCCAGACTTCTTTGCCCCAGAAAAAAAATCACCTAAACTGTAGCTCAGTAAGAGCTGTGGGCATATCAGGTTGAATTATTCACTTGCACTTCCCAACACAAAGTTTCAGTGGAAGGGCTGAGCTTATGTCACTCCTGTGAAGCTGCTGCTCGGGATGCCTTATCAGAGTGCCTCTGGGATTGAACCCTGCTTCTGCTTCCTATCCAGCTTCCTGCTAAAGCATCTGGGACAGAGCAGACGATGGCCAGGCACCCAGGTTCCCGCCCTTCACATTGGAGACCCAGAGAGAGTTCCCGGGAAATGACTTTATGGGCATTTAGGAAGTGAATCACAGATGAAAAGGTCTCTAATTTTTCCCTGTCTGACACTGCCTTTCAGATAAATAACATTTTTTAAAAACCCTGCCACATGGTTGTTTAAAAAGTTTAGAGCGAGTGAGGTGGCATAGTAGACTAACCCTCTGCCTGTGGCATCGGCATCCCATCCTTTCTTGGCTGTTTCACTTCCCATTCTGCTCTTTTATTGTCTGGGAAAGCAGTGGAGAATGGCTCAAGTCCTTGGGCCCTTGCACATATGTGGGAAACCCAGAGGAAGCTCTTGGTTCTTGGCTTTGGATCGGCTCAGCTCTGACCATTGCTGTTCTTTCTTTCTTTTTTTTTTTTTTAAAAGATTTATTTTTATTATTTTTTTTTATTGGAAAGGCAGATATACAGAGAGGAGAGACAGAGAGGAAGATCTTCTGTCCGATGATTCACTCCCTAAGTAAGCGCAACGGCCGATGCTATGCCAATCCGAAGCCAGGAGCCTCTTCCGGGTCTCCCACGCAGGTGCAGGGTTCCAAAGCTTTGGGCCGTCCTCGACTGCTTTCCTGGGCCACAGGCAGGGAACTGGAAGGGAAGTGGGGCCGCCGGGATAGAACCGGCGCCCATATGGGATCCTGGGTGTGCAAGACGAGAAACAACCACTTGCGCCACCGCGCCGGGCCCTGTTATTTCTTTAAAATAAGAATACCTAATAAATATATTAAAGTTCAAGTTCACTTTTATTCAATAATGAGCCAAACATCCAAGTTTCAAGGAGTCTTAGGTTCTGAACTTCAACAACTTATACAAGAATAACAGGAGCCTGGTCAGTAGGGCTCCTGAGCAAGAGGGACATTCTGATCCTATGTAGCAACCTTCTGCTGACTGAATTCGCTGATTGTGCAGGGCTTTTTCACGTGTATATGCATTTTCATACAAAGAAGGAAGTAGCTTAAGACAACAAATTGGACAAGAGCAAGGATGAGCAAATAATTTTAGAAAAAAAAATATTGCCGAGTAAGAAAAACAGAAGTAAGGACCACAGGGTTTTCTTTGCCCTTTAAAAACATATATGTACTTATAACATATTATGTATATATTTACACACATATGTATATATACATACACATATCTATCTATCTATTTATCTGTCTATCTATCTATCTATCCATCCATCTATCTATCCAGATCATGTTGTTAGGTTTTTTCACGGAATTGAAAAAGACTCCTTGTGAGGTAGAAGACACGGGGACTTAATACAGGCAATATGGCTCAAAACATCTGCAGGTGCACCAGAAGTGATCAACAAGTATTAGCAGAAATGGTTGTGATAATGATCATTGTGATTAATTTCATACTGCTTTCCCCTGCTTCCACATCTACCTTTTGTTAATTGTTCAAATTTAACGTCCAGGCTTTATCTTCTTCAAAAGCCTGTCGTGTCCAGTGGGAGCACCCTAGGAGCGTGAGGCTGGGGTATTTGACAAGCTCGGTAAGCACGTGTTACAGGTACCAGGCCCCACTCTCGAGGCGTCCTGCCCTCTGCCACTCTCCTGAGGAGGCACTTTTACTGCTCCCTTTTGGGAGAACAGCCTACAGCATAGACAGATCAAGTCCCTCCCAAGGTCACAGTATCATCAGTGGAAAGTGCTGTGCTCCAACCCCTGCAGCGGGCTCCTCAACATCCTTCAGTTTCTAAAACTTATTTCCCTCCTGCAAGACAGAGAAGCAGACAAACAGATCTTCATCCACTGGTTCGCTCCCCAAATGGGCCAGGTTGAAGGCAGGAACCAGGAACTCACTCCATCTGGGTCTCCCACGTGGGGCCCAGGGGCTGAAATCACCTGCTGCCCTCCAGGATGATGTGCATTAGTGGGAAGCTGGTGTGCAAGTGGGACAGGAACTGCAACCCAGGCACTGTGTTGGGGATGCAGGTGGCTCACACAGGGTCTTAAAGATGAGGCCAAACTTCTGCCCCCATGGGAAAGCTCTCTCATCTACATAGGTCACCCCTCTGTTCTCTATTACTTTAGCCCTAATGAATGCATTAATGTATGCTAATGTATGCTTGATTAAGCCTAAATTTTACTCATTCATTCAGCAAACATCTGCTGAGTTCCAGGCCGGTGCCAGCTGCGAAGGCATCAGAAGGGACGGTGGCACACGCTCCCTACCCTCACCAGCTCACAGCAGCATGATTGTTTACCCAGCATTCTGCACAGGCTTCCTTCTTCCCTTGTCCAACCATCTGTCAAGCTACAGTACCTAACATTTAGGGCCACTGTTTTCTCTGCCTGCCCCCTTCCTAGGGTCCCAGGATGCCCGAATATAAGAGGACACTTTTGCATCTGCCATGCAGGCAGAGGCGGCAAATGGGAGAAAGGACTGATTGACTCCAGAACTTTCCTAAGGAGCGTGCTGATGGCACCCCTGGGAGAGACTAGACAAGCTGTGTGAAAGGTGAGTTGGAAGGAGAAGAGCCGGGGCACCTGCCTGGGTCAGAGAGCCACGGAGAGGACAATGGACTTGGGTCTACAGCAAGGATGTTGTTAGGATACCAGCAGAACACCTGTCCAGTAGGGCATATCAGCAGTTCCTAATGGACAGTCCAGGCAGAGTGGAGGGGACGTGGCCTGCTCCGGCTCCTCCCCAGTGAGGGCATCTCGGAGGGAAGTTGCAGATGCCACCTGTGTTACCAGTAGACTCATGCACCCTGTCCACCACCATTCTCTGGAAGACTGAACTGAAGGTTCTTGAGGAACAGCCACTGCAAACTGAACCCAGAAGGGTGCCTCAGGGGCTGGTGGCTAGTGGCTGCTTCCTTACCGAGAGGCGGCCCTAATTCTTCCCAAGGGGCTGGGGAGTGTTGTGTGTGCAATTCTTATTTATGTCAATCTATTAGCTTATGTAAAAGTTGAAGCTTATGCAGCAGGGAACAACAGCCTCATGAGCTTCCACATAGCCTCGCCTTGTAGTTTCTCTCTAGCTAATTCTCTTACACTTAAAAAGCCACAAGAAAGCAACACCTGTGGGGTAGAAGGCGGTAGCAGAGGGGGTGATTCCACGGCTCTCAGGGCAACCCGTGCTTCCTCCTGACCTTTCCTTCCGGTCGCCAGGAGTGAACGTCTTTTAGTTTCTTTCCTTTTCTCCTTTTTTTCTTCACTATCATTCATATACAGAGTCTTCCCACAATATGTAAACAGTGGACATTTTGATTTCCAAAAAGGGAGCAATTAGGATCCATCCATTTGCCACGGCAGCCATCAATGATGAAGATCATACTTGTAACGACTAGATAGCATACTTGTAATGACTATATGGTTAACCCACTGGGGCACAGTGGATTAACCTGATATTTATGAGGCCATACTGGAGTGCCTAGGACCGAATCCCACCTCTACACCCAATCCAGCTTCTTGCTAATGCGCCTGGATTTTGCCCACATACTTGAGTTCCTGCCCCCCACGTGGGAGAACTGGATGGAGTGCCTAACAACTGGCTTCAGCCTGTCCCAGCATTTGTGAAGTGAACTACTAGATGAAAGACCTCTCTTTCTCTCTCGCTTTCTCTCTTTCAATTGCTCACACTTCCTTTTAAATAAATAAATCTTCTGGAGACCCAGAAGAAGCTCTTGGCTGCTGACTTTGGATCGGCTCAGCTCCAGCCATTGTGATCACTTGGGGAGTGAATCATCGGATGGAAGATCTTCTTCTCTGTCTCTCCTTCTCTCTATTTGCCTTCCAATAAAAATAAATACAGCTTTTAAAAAGCGTCTATATGGCAAGAAAAGGGTTGTAGATCAAGTTTACATTATAAAATTGCATGGGCACAGAGATGTTCAGTGTAAACATGCACTGGAGGAAAAAAAACTAGAGAAAAACAAACAAAAACCAAAACAAAAACAGATTTTTGCTTCAAGTGGTGTACTTGGAATAGATTTATAGCTAAACTTTAAAAAGCTTGCTTTAATGCTGTTGAGATGTGATTTGCACTATAAGCAACACCCACAATGAAACAAAAAAATACTGGTTTTCACTAGAGCGATGGCTCAGGGAGGGTAAAACAGCACCCGGAGGAGGCATAACAACCTTGCCTCCTCTCCCTGCACCCAAGGCTGGTTGCTACATGACACCAAGCAGCCAGAGCCTGGCGCTAAGGGACTGTGGCTCCTTCTGCTTCTTCAACTTCTTCATCATGCCCCTGGTACTCGGGGCAAGCATCTTACAGGGTCACTGTTGTCCATAGTGACCATCAGAGTCAGATGTGCCCATACAAAAATCACGAGGGTCTCCCCAACTCCAGCTGACACTTCCCAGGATGCCAGGCCCTGTGGGAAGCTCTTTGAATCCTC